GAACAAACTAAGATAGATCAATTTCAGGCTTTGTCATAAGTAAAAAAAAAATAAATAAAAATAAAAGTAAAAAATTCCAGCATAGTATGTGGGACAAGAGACAACTTTCAACTTCCTTTTACCACCAGATTATTATCATAGCTTCTTGAAAAATTCTATTTCTAAATCCATGGATTCTTTGTAAAATCTAAATCTCTGCCACTCCCATTCCGACCCCTGTGTTTCTACCTCAGTTATAGAAAGCTGAAATAAAACATACTTCTATACATTGTGTTGAACAGTATCACATTTAGCACACTTCAAATTTGTATGTCAAAACTGCCTATGTTGGGGTGAGGTTGTGGCTCTGTAGTAGAGTGCTTGATGAACATGTGTGAGGCCCTGGGTTTGATTCTCAGCACCACATATAAATAAGTTAAATAAAGTTCCATTGACAACTAAAAAAAAAAAACTATTTAAAAATAGTTTTTAAATAGTTTTTAAAACTTATATTGGATATCCTCATTAGGGATGGATGTGAGAAGTCCTGCACAACTTAGAAGACTGCTGAGCCACAAAGTAGCCACACCTTCTTAAAATTCCCTCCACATACCAGAGAAATCCATGTATCCCAAGTTCCAGGAGATTAAGCCACGGGTTCTGCCTTTAGTCATTTCTGTCTGGCATGATAGCTCTAACACCTCCATGTTTACTACTTCTCATCATGTTACTATGCAAGTATTTACAAGAGTATATTACAAAGGATAAATTTTAATAGAATGCATTACAGCTAGTCATTTTCTTTGATGTCTCAAAGATCTGGGTAGAGTTTATTTCCTCCTACTTAATCCCTCACAAAACATTTACAGAGCACCATTAACATAAGTAAACTCTTCAATATCCCTTTATCAAAATGCCATCACCAGTTACAACTCTGGATTTCATAATGCACTTACCAAGGATACCTTTCCCCACGCCACACATCCCATTTAAGCCTAGTTCATCATGTTAGTACTTAAGTGCCTACAAGCATGAAGGAGTCTCCATGAGGCAAGAGAACTCACACCCATTGTAGGATAATCATCTTTCCAAACTAGCATCAAAAGCCAATATAACCCTATAGCTACTTCAACAATCAAAAGAGACCCCAAATGTTTCAGTTCCATTCCCATTGAAAATGCTTGCTTTAAGAAGTTCTCAAAAATGGCTTGGGGGACTGGGGATATAGCTCAGTTGGTAGCTTCTTGACAAATTCTAAGTCCCTGGATTCTTTGTAAGACCTAAATCTCCGCCACTCCCATTCTGACCCCTGAATTTCTATATTAGCTATAGAAAGCTGAAATAAAACATACTTCTATACATTTATGCCTTGCATGCATAAGGCCCTAGGTTCAATCCCCAGCACCACCAAAAGGAAAAAAAAAAAAAAAAACAGGCTGAGCTGGATGTTCTAAAACGGGGCATATGTTAAGAACCCCAGCTCTGGACTCAGACTGCCTGGATTCATATCTTCTGAATTTTTGGAGTCTGAACTTAGTATGTCCCTTTCTTCATCATGAAATAGAAATAATAATGCCTGTCTATAGGGCTATTTTCAAGATTAAATAAAATAGTACATGAAAGGGATCTAGAAATCTGCCCAGCATCTAAGAAAGAATTCAAATAGATTAGTTATTAGCTGTGATTTCAAGTGCCTGCTTACATAGTGGGTACTTAAGCACTCTTTAGAGAATACTGATTTTATGAATCTGCCTAAATTTAAGTTATGCAAGGTTTCCTAAATACAACAAGAGCATTGCACAAATCAATTATCATTAGAACTGGAAAATCCATATACCATACATCTCTTTGTTTCATTAATAAAATATCTTTTGAAAATGAGCTTACTAAAAAAGCGTATAAATAAATAAAATGTGTTTTCTTTCTGAGGACTACACCATAAATAAAATACATTATGTTTAAACTGACCACTAGTTAGCTGAACATTCATTTCCTAATTTCCCTTGTCTCTCTAGCTCCCCAAATCTGCACAAGTACAAGATCAGCTACATAAAACTCTTACCTGTGTTAATGACCTATAAATGCCAGTCAGTAAGATGATGCATTCTTATTAGTGGTCTTCACCTCATTAGAAGCCTGCTTTCACTGATAATGGAGCTCAGAGGTCAATTTAAAAAAATCTAGGAAAGAACTCTCTTTAATTTAACAGATGGACAGGTGTTTGGAAGCCAAGAGCTGTTCATGGTTGCATTCCACATGCCTACGAAAATTGCAAAGACATCTACAGAAACCTAGCACTAAATCCCAACATGGTTCCTACTGAAGAAGCCACCAATAACTCTAATACAAGAGAAGACAAAAATATAAGTTTGATTGGATTTCCCCATTTAGTTTTCTGAAAGTACTAAAAGTCATCAGAGTGATCTCAATAGCTCCCTGGAAAACACATCTCTATTAAACAATCAAGAATTTATATTGGTTTTAATATCTGATTTCATCTCATCTAATAAATAAATGAACTGCAGGAGCAGCCGCCTTAAAAAAAAAAAAAAAAAAAAAAGTGCAAAGTCATCCCCCCAGCCTTTTCAACCAAAGAACCACTATTGGAACATGAGTTACAATAGTTAAGTAATGTTTAAAAAAAAAAAAGTGGTTTATTTCTGTTGTTCCTCAAAGCCTCCATTCCTTTCTCCAAAGGGATTATTCAGTCTCAATGTGCCTCGGTGATTCTGTGACTACCTAATAAGGCAAACTGGGATTCACTTAAATAAGGGCACTTGTGAAGGTAAGAACAGGGCTACTGGGCAAGCGTGCTAAAAAGCAATTTCTACGATATGAAGGCTTATGCATGCACAAGTTATCCAAAGTGAGATGTTCTCAGAGATAAGCTGAAAAGTCTAAAGCAACCTCTTCAAAATAAACAAGGCAAATCTTATCAATTCAAGAGAAACCACATTCACAAAAACTCCTTGTATTTCTGCCAAATATGTATTTACAAACTATGCAGGAAAGAACTTGTGTGATACGACTGATATCCTGGCCAAGTCTCAAGATTTATAGTTAGTGACATTTGCAGTAACCAGGTAGCAAATTGAATCTCACAGGAAAGGGATGAAATATGGAAATGTAAAGTGAGTCCAAAAATAGTATTTTTCTTACCCGAAAAAGTGAAGCCTGGGAAATGTATGGATGGCTTTGTGTACTTATCTAAATCCCCTTTTCTATCATAAAATATTCACATTTCAGAAAAGCAAAATGAAGCAAAGAGGTAGCAAAGTAGAAAAAAATATTCAAATGTTCAAAATACTGTCTGTTCATAACTGCTCCAGAGCAGAAAATGAAAAGCAGAATTTGATTTGGCTTTTCTTTCAGACCTTTCAATGATGATCCCGCTGATGCCACAGAATTCCGCAAAAACTTATCCAGACAGTCAAGGAGACCTTGTAATTTGCAAAGACTTGCCACAAGCATGTAGCTACACTTCACACAATGATCAAGACTTAATATTTCCTATCCTTCACCTTTGCTGACCTGTCAAAAAAAAACCATGTCCCATCCTCAGACGATGCTTTCCAGTCATGTTAGGAACTCTTCAATTCTCTACTAAAAGGAGCAAGCATCTAAGCAGCTTCGCAAGTAGCTCATTCAGTGGTTGACACACTCATCTGTCACTTAGCCTCTCTCAAACCTGTGGAATAATCCATTCCTTGGACTTAATGATACCTCTTTTAAAAAAAATGTACAGGAGCTCATTGGTTTTTGTAAAGACAATGTCAAGAAACTCGCAATTCGATAGGATTTCATTTAAAATCCTTTTAGAAAGTGGAATCTGTAAAAGCTAATTACTCCCAAACAGGAAATTAACTGAAACACACACACACACACACACACACACACACACACACACACCACAAACCACACACACACACACACCAAGCACACGTGCACAACACTCAAACTGGAGGGGTGGGGGGAATCGGTCAGGCGCTTAGAAAGTATGAGTTAGGTAAAAGGCACACGGCCCTGGGTCGTGGTTTCTGCTCCAGAGCCGAAGCTCCCAGAGGACACGCTGGTGACAGCGTTCCCGCGGCGCTCCGCCAGGGACAACCCAAAGATCCCTCTTGGTGCCTGCTGGCATATCATCCCTCCTTCCCTTCTCGGAGCGAAGGGCTCCGCCCGCGGTGACCGCAGCAGGTCAGGGTGGGGCGGGGGCGCACGGGCGCCGGCTCTCTTCACTCGTTCGGGAGCACGCGGGCGCCACTTACATGCCTGGCTGGAGCTGTAGGGCGCTTCCTGGCGGCCAGCTGGCGGCCACCCAAGCGCAGAAGCACCAGAGCCACAGTCGCGAGGTCATCTCAGCGAGGCCAAGCCGCTCCGGCCACCGCCCGAACTGCGCGCTGCGCGCCGCTCAGAATCCGCCGAGTCCGAACCCGGCGCAGAAGTTGGGCTCGCCGGGCAGAAGTTGGAGTGCAGGGCTTGCGGGCCCGCGAGGTGCGTCTCCCTGAGGAGGGCGCGGCAGCGGCTCGGCCCCACCGGGCGCCACAGGCGATTGGGAGCCCAGGAGGAGCGGCCAGAGGAGCCCCCGAGGCGCGGTGGCCGGCGAGCTGCACGGTCCTGCTCCGCCGGGAGCGACTGGAGCAGAGCGAGCCCAGCGGCCCCGCAGCCCCCGCAGCCCGGGTGCCATGGAAACGCGCTCGCCGCCCTCCCGCCCCGGCCCCTCCGGAGCGCTTAAAGAGACAGCCCCGCTGCCACCGCGGGCTCGACGCGTTGTTGGGCGTCCCCCACCCCCCAGCGCCCTCCTCACCCACCTCCTCTCCACGCCAGCGCTGCGGGGACTAGAAGCGGCGGGGGCTGGGAAGTGGGGGCAGTGGGAGAAGCAGCTGGGACGCAAAATCAGGGGTTTCGCTGAATACTCAGCCTGACTCTACTCCCAACCTCTTCTGATCCACCCTCTAAGCACACACACCCCAAAGCCCGCTAAAGACGCTAAGCTGCTCTGGTTTTCAGCCTCACACACCAACCTGCTCAGAACCAACCAGCTGTGCATCTGCTACAAGCAGAGACCAAAAGAAGGCTGACTTTTGATTCACTCTTCTCCTTCAGCTCACTCCCTACCTCGAGTCTGGGGAGTAGGTCTGAACACCAGACTAAGGGAGGTGTGTTTGAAGTGAAAACCAAATGGTAGTTGATTGAGTCAAATCTCTTGCCAAATCGACAGTTGCAGGACACATCTTCAGCTCATCCAGAAATCCTAGTTACTCAAAATGAGATAATCTCCCTTCATTTTATTTGGCCACCGTCTCACCCAATTTAGGCACCAGAGTTATAGGAAGGAGCCAACCGTTCTATAAAACTACTCCATCCTTCCCTGCAAACCAACTCCCTTTCCCTAAAAATATACGGAGAAGCCGTCAGTTGCGAGCCCCCACGGCCCTTCCAGAAGGGAACAGCGTCTGCTCTGAACGCGAAGCTTGGGTTGCGGTGCTGGCTAGCGCTGCCCGGGACGCACAGCCAAGAGTAGCGCGGTCGCCAGCAGCTCCGGCCTGAGGCTATGCCTGTGCTCGGCGCCAGCTGCTGTCTGGAAGGCCGCAAACCTCTGGAGTTTTTATTTCGTGAAAATAAAAATCTATGGTGCATTGTGCCCTCCAACAAGGACAGCCCAAGCTCTGGAGCCATCGTCTGCAGTTTAACCCTGCAGAAAATGGAACCGTCTGCAATGAAACAACTTTTTTCCTTTATTCCTAAACTTACCCAAAGTGTCTATCCAAGGACTCATTCATAATCAAACACTAAAAGGGATACCACCTGATTTCCACAGTCCTAGGACCCCTAAAATGATTTTTCTCAGAAGGTGTTTTTGGACTCCCTCTTGCCTTTCATAGTTGAATTAACCATCTGGCTTTTAATTTCAGTCTTCTAAGCCTTTGTTCCCCTTTTTTCTCTTTCTGCTTTTTCTGTCACTAAAGAAGCAATTGGACATTTACAGGAGGGACCGAGGAGCACACTTTTGGGGGGTTTCTAAAAAGGAATAAAAAGATGAGAGTGGGAGAGAACCACACTCCTGAATTTTTTAGCATTCTGTGACTTTGCTCTCCTTGTTTATTTAAGTTTGTAATTCATGCTAACTTGCAATGTTTCCTATTCCTCTTAGACTTGTCTGTATATTTTTAACTTTTTAAAATCAAGTTTACAGTGAAAAATTCTGTAAAAACACAACTAGATGATATCTTTATCTTTTGGCAAGTATCTTGAACACAGAATTTTAGAGCTGTTTACACAATAGAAATCATTATCTGACCCCTGTGTTTCATGAAAGAGGAATTAATTCTTACTTCCCTTTCTAAACACCAGTTATACATGAACCAGGCCTTCTCCAAACCCAAGAGATAGTGGACTTGGTACTGACACCAGCTGTGGAGATGCATTTTCCTGTGGCTAACTCTCAATTAGTTCTGCTAACAATAGGCCCAGTACAGGTTAGTAAAATACACTGGTAATTTTAAAATTTATTTTTAACTGTTAATTCTAAATTCTCCTCAACAAAATTGATTACTTAATTTCACCTCCTCTTCTTTTTCCTCTCTCTTCTAGGGAAGCACTATTGAACAGTAAAATGACCAAAGGCAGGTGGGGTACTATAAGGATGGGAATTAAGAAACTGGATAAGCCATAATGATTACAGCTTCTGAACTAGTGTAATGATTGTATAGGGTATGTGTATAGGTACAAAGATTAACCCTCTCCATGGATTCAGTTTTCTAGTTTGTCCTTTGGATGAAACTTAAAGGCTCCAGTTTATTTCAATACTGTTTGATCTTAATTGTTTTGATGAAAATTTATAGTGTACCTAAAGTTAATATAGATTAACTCTTCCCTGAAATTTCCTGTGACTTGCTAAGCCTTTCTTTGCTTCTGGACTAGTTTTAACTCTGCAGGAGTCTATCTTCAACTAATCTCATTCCCTTTGGGAATGTAAAAAGTTTCTATACAATTTTCTTTATATTAAAGAAAGACAAATTTAGTATAAGTCATGGCTGAAAAGAGCTATTTTAAGAGCTAAATAATACAAAAATATATGTGAATTATTTGATTGCATGGTTGTTTAGTAAAGGACAGTTTAGGTACATGGAAAGTAAATCACAAATTAGAAAAATTTCCTTCCATGATTTTGAAAGCACTTTATTGTAGATGAACATCTAAAATAGCATGGATGTGACAGGCTAAATATTAGTGTACATTTCATAAAGTAATGTTGATTTTATATTATTCTAGCACGGCTTATAACATGAAAACAATGCCATATAAGCAATTATCCTTAAATGAAAAAGCAAATGCATTAAAGTTTTTACCATAAACTGACATGAATCCAGCACTTCCTTCGTAATTTGTGCATACAATTTAAAAATAACTGGTTATGTGATTTGATTGGCTAGTTATGCCATATCTTTAAAACAGGAGAGCATTATGAAACCTGTTGGCTACAGTCTTACAGATTAAAATAGCAATAGTTTGGTGGTTTCAGGGTTCTATGAACACACAAATTGAGGCTAGATACAGAAAAAAAAGAAAAGAAAATACCAGTTAATTATACCTTTATTGCCCAGAGTGAAAGACATTAAATTAACAAAGAAAGAGAATGAGCCAGGTACACAAAGAATCAGTTTTAAAAATCAAGAGAAGTGTTATGCTAATAATACCCCTTGCTCAGACATAAATTTCATGGGGTACAAAAATCAGATTCATCATGAATTGGCTTTACTTTTGTGAATGATCTTTTACACTTGCCTACCTAGATAGGCTCTTAAAAATAGACTTGACAAAGTAGATGAATGTTCTCTCCAAGAGGAGTCCAAAAGATTAGGAGAGGAGGGCGATCTCCAGTGGGCATGCCACATACCATTCTCTCTCCTTCCATACCTGCATCTAAGGCGTAATAAATCTAACGAGCTTCTTCCTTGTTAGGAGGTGGAGTAAGCCAATTTCATGCTTTATGTATGCTGGTTGTAAAAAGGAATGCTTACCTAAAAAGAAATAGATTCCGACCAGATGTTCTGAAAATCTTCCTCAGCTGCTGCTTGAAGCTTTACAGTCACCGAATACTTTATCTTCTCGTCTATCTTCTTCTAATTGAGAAATTGTTGATCCATGCAGTACGACAAGCAGACTGCTGCAAAAACCTTCCTGCCAAAGCTTTTCAGCCCTGCTCTCCTTCTGCACAAAAACTTCTAGTGTCTATACAGGAACAGAAAAAAAGAGCAGGCCACTTCATCCGGCAGGTGTTGTGGGTTGAAAAAGGAGGAGGTCAGAAAGCAATTCTTCAAAGGATAGCTTCTGTCACCTGAAAGTGTAATAAATTGCCATTACAGAAATGCCTACAAGCACTAATGAGCCATGTACACTGAAATCTTGATGTCAGGAAAAAATAGAATGAAATTCACCCAGGAACCAACTGGGATCGTCACACCAAGATGTGAATAATCATTCTTGCTTTGATTTCATCTGCCACTAAATTTTGTTCCTACAGACCTATATTCCTCTCTCTCTTTAAAGGGATTAAAAATTCAACATAAAACTCCTAAGATGTTTGTCTAGTGATTTATACATAATTACTCAGTGCTGTGATACTTATTGGTCATAATGACTTACAAATCATATGTAAGTGATAATGGAATTACTAGCTCTGGAATTACATATGCTTATTGGAACCTAATTAGAAGCTTAGCCCAGACATACATTTGTACTTTTTTCTGAAACTATACTATGCATTTGCATAGCTGATGCTTTTCAGTATATATGGAAATAAGACACATGTAACATTAAATTTACAATCTTCACCATTCTTAACTCTACAGTTCAGTAGGGTTGTGTATATCCACATTGTTGTGCAACAGATCTCTAGAATGTCTTCATTTTGCAAAACTGAAGCTCTATACCCATTAATATAATAAATTCTCCTTCCTTCTCTCCAGCCCTTAGCAGTCACCTTTCTATTTTTTCTTTCTAAATTGACCACTTTAGATATTTCACAGGAGAATCATAAAGTATTTGTTTTAGTTTTTTGTGAAAGGCTTAGTATATTTAGCATCTTTTCATTATTTTGATAAGAGGCATTCTAACAGGTGTGAGGTGAGATCTCATTTGATTTTAATTTGCATTTCCCTGATGATTAGAGATATCCAGCAACTTTTTATGCATCTGTTGGCTACTTTTATGTCTTTGGAAAATGTGTATTCGGATTCTCCTCCCAGTTTTTAATTGGGTTATTTGTTTTCTTGCCCTAAAATTGTTTGATTTTCTTACATTGTTTGGATATTAATCCTTCATCAGAGGTATGGTTGGCAAATATTTTCTTCTATTTTTAGTTGTCCCTTCACTTGTTGATCATTTCCTTTGCTGTAAACATGTTCTTTAGTTTAATGTAATTCTATTTGTCTATTTTTGCTTTATTGACTATGCTTTGGGATTCATAGGCAAAAAAAAAAATTGTTGCCCAGAACCAATAATAGGGCACTTTCCCTCTGTGTTTTATCTCACTAGTTTTACAGTTTTTTAAGTTTTAGTCTTTACACCATTTAGAGTTGATTTTTAAATCTAGCGTGGGATAAGGGTCTAATATCATTATTCATTAATATATGGAATTTGTCCCAATGCCATTTATTAAAAAGATCATCTTTTTCCCCATTGTGTGTTCTTGGTATCTTTGTAGGAAATCAGCTGATTCTAAATGCTTGGATCTATTTATTGACTCTCTACTTTGTTCCATTGGTCTGTGTCTGTTTTTATGACAACCTTACTGATTTGATCACAATACTTTTGTGGTATATGTTGAATCCAGGTATTGGGAGGCATCCAGCTTCATTCTTTTTGCTCAATGTTGCTTTAATTGTTGTTCCATATGAATTTTGGGATTAATTTTTCTATTCTGTGAAAAAATGTTATTGGAATTTTGATAGAAAGTATAAGCAAAATGTTCATGTTGCCTAACATAGCTCATGTTAGGCAACATGGACATTTTGGTAATCTGAATTTTCAGCACATGATCATGATATCTTTCCACTTATTGTTGTCTTTTTAGTTTCTTTCATCTGTGTTTCATTAAGTTCATTTATAGAGATCTTTCACCTCCTTCATTAAATTTATTTCTAAGTGTTTTGTTTGGGGAGCTATTATTTGTTTTCTTGATTTCTTTTCTAGATACCTCATAGTATATGTTCAGTTTATATTTTGCAACTTTACTGACTTTTTTAGTTCTAAGAGTTTTGGGGAGGACTCAGAGTTTTCTACATAGCAGAACATGTCATCTGCAAACAGTGACAATTTTACTTCTTTTCTATTATGGAAGCCTTTTAGTTCCTTTTGTTGCCAAATTGTTCTGGACCTAACTTTCAGTACTATGTTGTGTAGAAGTGATGAGATTGCGCATCCTTGTCTTTCTGATCTTAAAAAGATTT